ATGCTTCTTTTCAATCGATAAACAGCTTGAGCTTGTTTCTAAAAGCAATCGAAGAAAATATTGATCTTTCGCTAGTTTTGTAGCAATACATATCGATACCTGCTAGATGTCAATAAAAATAATCGATAGCTATCGATTAATCAGAATTGAGCTTAGATGATGCCGAAGAGTCCGTATTTGTTTACATTACATTTACATGAAGTTTTTGAATGTTTATATCGATTATCGATAATTATCGATTACCCAAAATCAATTCACATATTTAACAAAATACATTTGAAAGTTCTTCTTTCCACTTTCTAATATTTTGTTGTTTACAGGGTATGTTTGAGCCGCTGCTCTTCATTATCTCTCCATTCTGCCATTCATATACTTATTTTTGTAAACCATTTTCGTGGCTTTGCCTACATTTATCAGCAAACGTTGATCTGACTTTATTTAGCTGCAAATACATACATATTTATGCCAATAAATGAGCACGTAATAACAATGACACACATAGCTACACCACACACACATACACACACAGAGAGAGAGAGACACATAGACAGATGTACTTAACATAAACATAATTGCAAAACAATTGCTCAGAGCTGAACGCAACTGCAGCCACGCAGCCACAGCCACAGCCACAGCCGCAGCGACTCGGCTTGTTGTTGATAGTTCATCACCCTAGAAACAACACCAACAATAGTAACTAGCAACAACAACAACAATAACAACCAGCAGCAGCACAAGCAATAATAACAATTACAATGTTAAGCGCATTTATCAAAAAAGAAAAAACCTTTTGCTGATATTCACGCATGAAGTGTTTATCGCGGTCCAAACTCGAAAAACACCCACCAAAATGTGAAAATATATTCCAAGCCATAAGAAAGGTTAAAATACAATAAAAAGTCGAAGTTGTGATACCCTACAACACGAATTATGAATGCTATAAATATTATTTCTGAAGAAACCTAAAGTCCTTAGAAAGTATTATTAGAAATGTTTTTAAACTAAAATTGTTTCTAATAAAATAAACAATAATTATTTATATTGTCACACAATATATATCTTTAATATTATAAAGCATATTTCCAAAAGGATATTAATTTATTTTTAAAAAAATTTCTATATTTTTATAAAATATTTCTAATTTATTCTAAAATTTTCCTAAATTTTTATACATATTTTTAAAAATATTATTTATGCTTTATTATCTGACATTACCGAATTTTGACTGTAAATTATATTTTATTGAGAACATTTATTTATTTTAAATATATTATAAAAATTCATAAAATAATCTTTAATATATAGACAAATCTAATGATTTTTTGCTGCATTCTATGACCTCAGCTAAAAATATTTGTGCGACATAAGTAAGGGTATATTAAAGTGTTCTGAACTCTGAGTATAGGAGAGCTTACGTGTCTGCCAGTTGCTATGGCCTAAAAGGGTATAAGGGCGGCAAGGCTGGGCGGCGGCGGCGACGGCGGCAAGCGGCACGTTTAATGAATCTAATTAAAAGTCAACAATGGCAAACGAGATAATCGTCATTAAAGGCAACAACAGCAGCAGAGGTTAGGCTACAGGCGCTGCCTAGACAAGGGGTGGAAGGTGATGTGTTTTGGCTTTAACGCTTGGCTACAACGCAGGCGCAACATCCAGCGATAACAGCTGACTGACTGAGAGCAGTGAGACAGAAAATGAGCGAGATAAAGAGAGTGAGAGCGAGAGCAAGCGGTGAGAGCAATTGATAAACATCTGGAAAATGTTTTGCATCTGCAAAAGCAGTCAGGCAAATGAAATAAACCAAAATGCAGATAAAAGCGAGAGATACAAGCCAGAAAGGAAAAGAGATAGGGAGAGCGGGCGAGAGCGAGCGGAGGGCAGAAGTGTATGGCTGGAAGCCAAATCAACATTAAAATAGATCAACGCCTGCTGATAAACACAATGAAAACTGAATGGCGACCCCCAAGCCAAATGGAGCTCCGTTTGGAGCTGAAGGGGGCAGTCGGCTGCATGGGAGGGGGGCAGGTGCTGGTTGACAGGAAATGAACGCAAGAGAAATGAAAGGGTTGATAACAGCAGCCGCGTACGTAACTAGACATGCGTTTCTCGCAGTGTATGTGAGCTCACAGCAACAGCAACAACAACAACCAAAAAAGAAAAAACAAAAAAAAAAGAGAACAGATACAGATACACAGATACAATTAAACACAAAACGCTTATCACTAAGCAATAATCAGAATTCCATTAGCCGTGCGACGCGATATCGCACAAAAGCATCTACCAGCACACACACATGCATACGCACACACACACACACACACTCACTAGTAGCAGCAGTGTTCGCCTTTGTTGAATGTATCTTTGTATCTGTATCTGTAAGTGCACAGAAATTGCAACTGTATGCGTGTGTGTGTGTGTGTATGTGTATCCGTTATGCTGCTGGTTGGCTGCCTTGGGCTGACTGAGCTAGCTGCCTGTGCCGGCTGGCTTCTCCAACTGGCTGGCTGGTTCGCTTGCTTGCTCGATGTTATCTAACTGCGCGCCGCGCTGCGCTCTTATCAGTGCTTTATCAGTTTTTGTTTCGAATAATTTCGAACGACGTTCGTTGCGGCTGGGCGAAGGAAGCAGCGAGAGCAGCGCGCAGATATCTTATTTCAGTCAGCCAGCAAGCCTGTGTACGTGTGTACGTGTGTGTGTGTGTGTCGGATACAGATACGAATCCAAGAGACGAGTACGACTGCGACTTCGAATAGGACTGCTAGGCAGGCGGACAGGCGGACAGGCGGGCAGATAGGGCTGCAGATAGACGCAACTGGCAGACTGGCAAATGAAAGATAAACAACTTTGCCCGAGAGGGAGAGAGAGAGAGCGAGAGAGCGAACAAGAGTGGGAGAGGCCGAGCAAGAGACAGAGAAGAGGTAGCGGGAACAACGCGCAGTCATCAACAAACATCAGCTGTGCGCGGCGACTGCGACGCTGCGACGCTGCGTCGTCGTCATCGTCGTTGTCGTCGTCATTCGGCTGGCCTCGGTATCTCACATTTGTATCTCACAGATACACAGACAGACACACGAAGAGAGCGAGAGCAAGCGAGAGCGAGAGCAACACCGCGTGCAGACAGAAAATTTCATTAGTCAGCCGCTTGGACTGCGCTCAGTTAGCTGTAGAACGCGAAGCGAACAGCAACGAGCTCCGTGTGCACGTCAATCAAACGCTCAATCAGTCAATCATCGAGTGCCGCGTAAATTACGTGCGTGAGTGCAAGTGTGCGTACATGCGTGCGTGCGTGTGTGTGTGTGTGTATATATGTGTAGCAAGAGCAAATAAAACATGTGCAACTTTGTGGCAAGTGCAAAACAAACTTAGATTTATACAATTTCGCGCTGCAACTAAATTCCCTGCCCTTGCAATTTGTTCCCCTCCCCACCTCCTTTTCACCGCTCACCTCGTAAACGGATATATAGAAGCGCCATGATCAGCAGCCATTCAACAGCAACAAAAGGTGAGACAAGGTTGATCCGTGGGTGCAACAAGCAGCTACCTCTGCCTATCTGTTGCACTCTTCCCTCTCTCTCTCTCTCTCTTTTTCGCTCTCTTTCCATCTCTATCTCTCTCTGTCTCTCACTCTCCGTTGAAATGTCCAAGCGACAGACAGCTACTCAAGCCGAGAGTATCCCCCAGAGCTGGAGTTGAGGCAGCTTTTGGGTTTTGCTTATCAGTCGACTATCTGCGCTGTGTGGCTACACATTCATTCCTGGACAAACATACACACATGTGTGTGAGTTTGTGTGTGTGTGTGATATCTACAATCTGGCGAATGAAGGAGAAATAAAAAAACGACGAGGAATTCTGCGGATTGTTGTTATTATTGTTATTATAATTCCTTGAAGTGAATATCAGCAAAATATAATCAAAACGAGAAAACAACAACAACCACTACAACAACAACAACAACAACAACAACAACAACAACGAATGTAGCTCTGACTTGGACTTGGACTTGGACATGGTCTTCGTCTTCTTCGTCTTCGTTTACGTCTGCTTCTGCGTCTACGTCTGTTTGGCTCTGACCATGCCAACTACTGGAAACGCGCGTTGTGTTGTGCGTACTTAACAGATACGATGGCGATATGACCAGCAACTACAACAACAACAACAGCAGCAACAACAATTGAGCAAACATTGTTTTCACTTGAAGCAATTATTGTGTATTATGAATAACATGTATACGAAAACAACAATAACAACAAAAAGCTTTGCATACGATTTTTTATCTTCCGGCTGCAGTTATCATAGATTTAACCCATTTCCCGCTAAAAACTGTTGCACTTAGCGAAAATGTATAGTAATAAGTTGATATTGTATAGTATAGTATTGAATATAGTATAGTATTGTATAGTATAGTATTACGTTTTCACACTGAACTCTGCTTAAATATATATTTTTTTTGATTCTGGGTATACCCCTTAAAAATGTGAAATGAGGGCATATTAGTTTTGTAACAGTGAAAGCAGAAATCGCAGAAGAAGTATATTTTTCTATCTATATAGGCTTGTCTATCTGTCCACTGTTTGCTTGTCTGTATCTGAAGAGTTAGTTTACTTTTGAAGTTATTGCTCTTGACTTCAGAAACATTTTATCTATTCAAGTTTTGGACACAAGTGCATTATGTCGATAGTCATAGCAGATAGCAATAATCCGTTATTAAATATTGCAGATAAATAATTATTATATGATTTTATTACAATTATCAATGCTCTATTATATTATATATTATTATAAAATTTTATTATAATTATATATTATATATTATTTTCATTTATTTTAATTAATCATTTTATTTACATTTATTTTGAATACTTTTTTTTCACTATTTAAAATATATATTTATTTTTATTGGTTATAAATTTATACTCTACAAATATTTCTTTAGCTTATTTCGCTCAGTGCATTTCCATTGTAATTTTACTTAAATTTTTGCAACTCTTTTGCCATTGCAGGTGATTGTTCCGATACCACAGAAGAGATGACCGTCGACAGCAGAGGTGAGTGATGCTTGATGGCCAACTTTCAGGCCAACAGACCCACATAGCAACCCAATACGCTCTCCCACCGCCCACCACCCATTACCCCTTTGGCAGTAGCCAAAAGCTGTTATCTCTTTGCAGTCAGCAGCGCATTTCCCAGTGGCAGACACCAAAACGCTTAATGCCAAACATAAATTGCTTGTTATGAGTGTGTGTGTGTGTGTGTGTGCTGTGCGTGTGCTTGTGTGTGTCGAGTGGCTCTCGCAGTTGTCGCCTGCTGCGCTGCTGATATTTTGCCAATAAAAATTTAATCTGCTCGCATATCCAGTGTCAGCGCGAGCCATCCTTCTAATTTAATACCAATTTCTCATACTTCGCCACCTCCACTTTGTCTTCTTTCTCGTTTTTTCGTCTTCTTTTTTTTGCTGGTTGCTTCGTTATCAGCTGTGGTGCAAGGCCAAAAGCGTTGATTGGTCGGCCAAAGCCAAAGCCAAAGCCAAATGCTAAACCCAAAAGCCACAAGCCACTCGCACCACCCGCCTAAGCTGCGACTGCGGTTGCGTTTTTGACACCTCAACTGGATGCGAACCCTTTTGCCTTGTCTGTTGGACTGCCACCCTGCCGGCGACAGTTGACAACCCCTTTCTCTATATAACTGTATATACACATATTTTGTAACAGGATATGGAAGGCAACCCCCGCGCTCTCAAGTGCCTGTCAAGTTGTGCGTGTTTTGACTTAACTGGCATCATCATTGGCATCAATTTCGTATCACTTCATAATCATCAGCAATGTCAACGCAAGCCGCACCCCTACCCCAGCCCCTAAACTCTAACCCCGTTGCCCTAACCCTAATACATGAAACTCGAGCCAATTCACATTCAATGGACAACTGATGATGTTGTTGCTCGTCGTGATGATGATGATGATGATGGTGGTAGTGGTGATAATGACGTTGTGAGTGTGGCTGGTCAACCTGCGACCTTTGCTGGGGTGTTTGAATGGACGGGCTGGCGGGTAGCTAGCACCACATTCCACGCCATTTCGCTGCCTTCTCAAGCATTCATCATTAATAATCCCCAAGCCGGCAGGCATTGGTGCTGCCCCATCTCTCCTCCGCTCTGTTGGGGCCCTACCACGTGGTCTTTTTGTGCTGCGTCAGTGAAAGATTTGCAGCAGCCACACACACACACACACAGAGGGGAGAGATATATATACATACATACATACAGACAGGCAAACAGTGCGAGTGGCCCATTGGGCGTAACAGCGCGCCAAAAGTGGGCGTTTGTCTGCGCTAATCTTTATCTAGCTGTTGACACTCCATGGCAGCGCAGCAGACCAACCAGCAGCAGCACCAGCAACAACAACAATGAGATTTTCAAAATAAAAAAATCAAAGTGTTGCAAAGCGCAGAGTCACATTCCTTTCAGCCTCGTCGCTCGCCCTATCTCTCACGCTGATTCCCCCTACCCCTTCGTCCCTCGTCCATCCACCTCAGCTGCCCATTGGCCTGTTCAATGTCAGATAACTGCTTTTGGCTTTTGAATAAAGCACCTGAAGGGGCATAACAACTAGAGCGAACTATATGCTTTGTAAAATCTTAACATTTATAAATTGATTCGTATAATATGTACATATATGTATTTCAAATCGACTTGTCATATCTACTACATTGATGCAGACATTCAATATTTATTTAAAATACTTGAAGTACAATATATATAATTGATTCCTATGACTTATGCAACACTGTCTAAAATTGTATTAGTTGTGCGTACTTTTAAGGTATGATCTAGTTCTATAGTGGAATATAGTGTAATTAATTATATATTGATTAAACAGTTTTTGAAAATTTCTATTTATATGCATATATTCGGATGATCAAAAATAATTGTTTTTGTTTGTCATTTGTTCGAATTTAAACAACAAGCAATCCATATAATACCATATTATGCTACTCTCAACTTAATATTGCCTTTTCTCTTATATTATGGATTAATGAAACTAAAATACTGCCCTTAGTTGTTTTTATCTTTTTTACATTCTTCTATCCTCATATTTTGTGTAATGTTGTCATCATTGCAAACCTAAACTTATCTAAGACTTATGCCAATAACTATAAATTATTTATAAACAGTCTTTCCACGTCGATAAATATGATGTAAACTTAAACTCGTTAAACTCATTATTTAGCATTTATCGATAGTATATATATCGTGATTATTGCCACCTGCTCGCTCTTCGCAGCTCTCGTTCGTTTTGCAACACTGCTGCTGCTGCTGCTTCTGCTGCACATCTGCCAGTCGTGCACGCCCCGCAGCAACAGAGCTACATGCGCTTAGCTTTTGCTTTGTTTGTTGTTGCTGCTGCTTGCCCAGCCCCTAACTAGGGAGGTGGCCGCCCAGCGAGGCAACCTTGCAGTGTTTGCTACTGTTGTTGTTCTTGTTGTTGTTGTTGGTGCTGATGATGCTGCTCACTTTTGCCGCTCTTCATGCTGCTGCTGCTGCTGCTGCTGTGCAATGTACTGTAAGCGCATCTACAAGCTGCGCTATCTCACTTGCTCGCTCTCTATATGTGTGTATGTGTGT